CTATCGCCATCACAGTCCCGACTAAAAGCATGAGAATGTCCAAGCTGTCTGCAAACCTGAACTACACAAGAAACAGAGACATCAGAGACGTACTGCATGAAGGTATTATCTGAAAGCAGCAGGACACCGGTGGACTTCAGCCGAACAACAGCAGGATGTAATGCACTCCCATCCGATCTCCAACTTCCTCTCTTGCTGTACTTCTCTCACGCATACATGTTTCTATTATGCTTGTATTTGAAAACCAACTACAGAGTTTTATGTATTTGTATAAGCGTTCAACATTTTTATTTAACATTAATCCTATTCACTAGATTTTAACAGATTTCAGTTCACACCACTTTTTTTAAATCAAGAGAAAAATGGAAAAATATTTACAAATGAAGACCATCTTTCTGACAGGAGGGGATCAGGGCTGCAGCTAAGCTTACCACGGAGAATGGGCCAACCATGGGCTCCTTCGCCTCCTTTTCCTTCTTCTTCTTCTTCTTCTTCTTATCTGTCTTTTCATCATTCTCTTCTCTTTCACTATAAATGGTTGTGCACAAAAGGGGGTTTGTTTAACAAAACATTTTTTTGTAAAATACTGTACTGAAAAAGCCTTAACAAAAATTAAAATAAGATAAAAGTTAAGATTATGGCTGAAGTGTATTGTTCACTATGTAAACACATAATGGTATAAGGTGTAAAACAGGAAATAAACAATAAAGAATAACATTTTAAAACAAATGCAAATTTATTTTTTCAATGGTAACTTCAAAAGAAATTCTAAAGGCTTTAATATTTATGTTTTATTCTCAAACTTTATCAACTTGGTTGGGAGGTGAAGGTACAGTGAAAGTGAATCTTCAGCACCTTTCACCTTTAGCATGTTCATAGTACATTTTAATCATCTTTGCTGTGATGACATCATTTACATTCCTCTGGATTTGCCTACAATACACAACAGCCATTTAAAATCACTCTATATTTTAACTCTGGATGAGAAACAGGACACAATGTTAGATGTATAATTTTAACCCTGTTTGAGTATTTCCTTCAAGACAAAGATTTGAATGATTGGAATGGCTATCATTTTAAAGTATTGAGAATTATTTTCTGAACTGAGTGGAAATAAGCCTCTTTTCCTTGTTTTTAGATTCAGCTACAGATTACATTGATGCTCAATGTATTTCTTGTCAGTATAGTTTATAGCTCATATAAAAAAATTTAAAGTTTAAATGCTAGCCTGCATAAACTGAACCTTTTACCTGGTAGTATTGAATTAACTCTATTAACCTTTAGATTGCAATAGCATTTTAGTGCTTTTCTCTCTTGACTAAATAAGAATAGATAAATATTATGATAAACATGAATTTTTCCAATGAGGGTTTAGAATATATCTAGACTTTATATTATTTTTAAAACCTAGACTATATTAGATTTAAGCGTTCTGGTCCGTTTTTTTTTTCATGTTCTGCGTCGTTATCTTTAAATAAAAGTGAGTTGAGTGCAGTCGCTCATTATGGCGCAACAACTGACAGGTAAAATTGTAGAGAACAAGATAAAAAAGAAAAGGTAACATAAATAAATGTGAAGCTTTGTTTACTCTAAGTTTCCATTTGGAAGGTGGTTGGCTTCCGACACCATTTCCATGTCGCGTTTCTTCCCCATGTCTGTGTCCTGATAAAGGAAGAGAAACGGGTTAGTATCTAAGTTCAAACATTGACCTTATCCGATAAAAACTAACCTGAAAAAAAAAAGGGAAAATAGATAAAAGGTAGTCTGAGTTAATAAAACAGAAAGAATCACTTTCGCTTTAATACCACCTGAAATTAATTACCCTTTTAAAGCCCCCCCCTACATTAAACTAAATCCATAAGCAGGACCTACCGTCTGTCTTTCAGCCACCTTCCTTTCCCTCTCTGTCCCCTCAGCTCAGGATGATCACAGTAAATAACGTCCCTCCTCCTCTTCCTCCTCCTCCTCCTCACATGGCTTTATATCCTCTGCTGGCCGTCAGAGGATCCCTGTCCGTTACAAACTACTGTAAACGGCTCGTGTCTCTCTACGGTAGCCTTCCTCCCTGCTTTCACACCGGCAGATTAGTGGCTCTTTTCAGTCAAGCTTCGGAGTTTCATTGCAAATTATTGATTTGCTTTGTCAACAGTAGACAGGGGTGTGGATTCAGTCCTCACGTGTCCAAACGTCAGTTTACAGAACATCTTGAAGTGTTACACTTTACCAAATGTAGAGCTACCTCTGCTCCAGGGGCGGAGCTAGATGGGGGGCCAGTTTTTTCCCTCTCATACAGAAGGTGGCAACAGTAATACGCTCAAGTGGAATGTTCAGAACATTTAATTTTTTGGGGTTAAATATACACATCAATATATTAACATCAAAGATGATATGTACACAATTTATGCTCTTTTCAGAGCTAGATTTTGTCTTATATTGGATAAAGAGAAAAATATGTGTCTCTGCAAGTCATCTAGGAGTCTTCAGTGAAATCAAAGATAAATAGTTTTTATAAAAACATATGAAATAATAAATTTATGTAGATATTAGTGCTTATAAATATCAATTTTATGCAGAATGTTTATTTATACAAGTAGGTAAGTAATAACAATGGAATAGATTTATGAACTCAAAACTAAGTTTTATCCACTATACCTTTTATCTAGAAATTACGGATGTTTAAATATATATGTCTATTTGTTACCAAATGCTGTAGGAAAGTATAGTTAGTCTTTAATTGCTTGTTAATTTTCCTTTTGGAACAGTGTAGATTGACCGTAAGGTTCTGGTGCCGATCCGCTTTCGGCCACCCCTCAGTGTACATTGGTTGCTCTGCTCCCTCATCAGTCTCACTGAATTCAGCTGTTTTCTGGTTTTAAACCTGGACTACATTTAAAATCCCACACCTATCTATGTGGTGCCGTTTGTGAACATAAGCATATTTTAAGAGAAAATAAAGGGGTTATTATTATTATTTTTAAATAGTTTTTGTCGTTCATTAATTTATAAAAATATTACTTTGTTAAATAAATATTTTGTTTGGAGCTTAATATTTAGCTTGTAAATTAAATATTTAATTTGTTAAATTAACAATTAGCTCCAAACTAATTATTTAGTTTCCACATTAAACGTTAGTTATTTAAATATTTAAACTGGAAAATGAAAGAAATATAAAACAATATGTTTGTTCATTAAATTTAGGTGAAAACTGATTCTTAGAGTCCACAGGTCAGTGTTGCTACCCATGAAGTAGCTATAAACCTTAGAAGGGTTGGTGACCCCTTATCTAGATCAATGATTCCCAACCGGGTGTACTCGTACCCCTAGTGGTTTGCGAGTGCATTGCAAGGGTTACCCAAAAAGTTGTTTTTTCTTAGGCAGTAAAATAGGTCTACATAGAGAAATTAAATAAGCTTTTTTCAACCAAAAACAAAGTTTTTCTTAAATGTTTGAGTTCAATATCAGCTTTGACACCCATCAAAACCATGCAGAGGAACAAACTGGATGTAAAGAATGCTATCAGCTTTTTTTCACACTGAGCTATTGGAGCTCATCAAAGCAGCTCAGGTGTCTTGATCAAAACAAAGTAAAACTGATAAAGTCTGTCTGTGTATGATATTTGTTCTGTATTTTGTTCCCAATTCATCAAGTTTAAATAAGATTATGAGGGAGTTACTCAGAGAAAGTCCAGTTTTATAAATAGAGATTTATATTATGATTTTATTTTGTATTTATTTTGATTCCTTACTAACTTACAGGCAACATATTGATGTTAAAGTATTTAATTCCTAAAAATTAAATTGTACGTTCCACTTTTGCTCAATCATCAAAACTTTTGACTAAGAAGGGTACTCATGGTAAGAAAAAATGCTGAAAGAGGTAGACAAGTCAAAAAAGGTTGGTAAACACTGACCTAGAGATTTAGACTTAGAGAAACTTTATTGTCATTTCAACAGTGAATGAGCAGCTTACAACAGTGAAATGAGCATTTCAATTATAAAGTGCAGCAGTGATCGGCGTGTAAATAAATAAGTGAAAAGGAAAACCAGTTTAAAAATAATGGTGCAAAAGGGCTTTATTATGGAGTATAGTATATTAGAATAGACACCAGCTTGACCCCCAGATTCCCCATACTCCATCAGGGCTCTGCTCCACCCGCTCACGCATGTTGTGCAAAATACTTGTCTGTCCTGTTAATCAATGAGAACTGTTCCACTTCCACAGCTACTCCTCTCCGTCTTCTCCTTCTGTAACCATCAAAATACAGAGCCAAGCTAATTTTTGCCCCGCTCCGGTCTGGCCAGGTTAAGATCCGCAATTGTAATTGCACCAAACAGGAAAAAGAACGTAGAGATTATCTGGTTTGTAAAATTAAACTGAGGTAACAACAGATCGGTAGCTACAAAGTATAGCATAATTCTTATAGATAGCCCAAAACTAAGGCTGTTTAATTAAATGATTGGATGCAAACTATTGGTACTTCAACATACCAGGAGGCAGATTTCTCATCTCTTTCTCTCACACTCTCATCAAATCCAGTCAAAAGAAACTTCTTATTGCAGGCATGGATGAAGAGATGCTAAGTTTGGAAGTAGAGAACAAACAGTTCATAAAAAAAACTATTTTATATTATCCTAGTTATCCCTGTCTCAAAAATCCACAACAAAAAGAAAATATTTTGGCAGAAACTGCACATATGCTGGATGCTGATGAGGATTTTTTTTTTTTAATATGTCATACTAAATTAAGCGTTCATTTCCGCATGTTTTGCTCCTATGAGTTTAATAACAGTATAGCGCATGCTCTCCTTGAGCTCAGAGGAAGTTGGAGCGCAGCAAGACTGGTGGAACAGTAATGCAGAGTGGCTAACTACAGGTTTTCAAACTTAATTTGGCCCTCATAAGAGCTCAATAACAGACAGCTTTGTGGAATGGGTTTCCAGGAGCATCCAAGCCTTACATTAAGTGCAATGCAACACTGCTTGTCATTATCGCTGCCCCGATTGCTGACCTAATTGCTCATTTCACACACCTGCCTAACTCTGCCCGGTAACTAATTATCACTGATCTTTTCCACCTGCCCCTGCTGCTTTATATATGGCTCAGCCCAGCTATCTGGGCCAGATAATTATTTTAGTTTGAGATCATTGCTGATTTCCATAGTTCATGCTCTCGTTTTGGAGTGGTGAGAGAGGGTTTTTAGTGTTGTCTTAGTGTTTCTTGATCATGTCCTGTCACTTATCCACTGACCGTGCCCTGTTCCTGGTTTGGCTCAGTCCAGGGAGCTAGTTTAAAGTACCGTAGTTTTCCTGATACCATGTCTTGTTCTGCCTCTCAACAACTGAGCCTACCTGTTTCCATCTGAACGTTTCTGCCTGAACTCTCTGGACTCATTGAACCCTGAAACTGCCTGAACTCTGTGGATTTTTGTAACTCTGACTGTTCCTGTTCTGATTGGAACCCCTTACCGGGCTACGGACTCCTGGCTCTCTAACTCTATCTGTTCTGAACTGTTTTCCTGACCAGGCTCAGATTCATGCTTGTTCAACGAGCGGCATCTGGTTCACACTGGGCGGCTCCCGTCACATCTCGATGGCAGTCCATCGGTTTGATTCTACCTCGCTCTTAAGGAGTTGGACTGAACTGTTAAACAAGGTAAGTGACTCGTATGGATAATCATTCTCCATCAGATTATCATGATCACTTACCTGTGTTTCTCTCTAAACCAGAGTTGCCAGTGATGGGTGGTGCCCCGCCTCCCCCTGCAGTCACTGCAGATCCGCAGATCCACAGCTCTGTTCTGTTCAGTTTATTTTATCAAACGTTTTAAATCTTTCCCGCTGTCTGTCTCGCCTTGACTATTGGGTCCTTCATTCTGAGTTCATTACACTACTGGACTCTAGACTGGTGAAGACATGCTCTCTGGAGTGACATAACATTCCTATCTGTCTTATATTACAATGAAAATGAAAAAAGTTTGATTTGAAAAACTGCTGGGAGGACATTGACACAATACACTACCAGTAGGTTAAAACTAACCTCGAAAACAAGGTGCCATCATTTAATTGCAAGGCAGTAGTGCTACAAACTGCACCACCATGCAACCCCCTGGTTTTGTGTGCACACATTGTTTTATAAATCTTTCTCGTTCCTTGACATTTTCGGATGTTTGGCGTGCATAAACTTTTACAATGGATCCACAATATCTTATAAATTAGACCCTTGGTCTTGTTATACCATATCTCAGCTTTGATTAAATTAATAATTCTTTTCTGGTTAATAGTGTGAGGAGATCTAGATGTCCTAGTCTGTTGGTAGAGTTGAGCGAATAGAAAAGGGATAAAGTAAGCTATGTGGAGTGCCTTAGGGCACCATGTTGGGATTTATTTTGTTTGTACATTTTTTCTTTGGCCAGCTAATTCTAAAGTTCAGGTATGTTTATTTGTCTGATGTATTCATGTGCTCTGCTCATTTAAACATCCTGAAGTTTATAAAATTATACATGAGAACATTATCATAAACTGATGGAACATGCTTTTTGATATGATTTCTGAAAATAAGGAATGATGGTGTCAATTAATGTGTTGTATACATAATTCAACTATTGTTATGGTCTGTTAAGGCCAGGAATACATTGTACAAATTTTTGCCCTTTTCGGGCTGATT